TGTGGCTGAGGGAGGGGGTAGGAAAGACAGAGAGAATTTGAAACTCAAAATGTTTTTTAAAATGTAAAAATAAATAAATATTAAGATCTCAACTGGTAAGAACTTTGGGCCAGATATAATAAGATGAAATTCAATGGGAACAAATTAAAAGTTTAACTTGGGTTAAAAAAACCCAATATTTATCATGTTGCTTGCTTTTTCAATGGGCAGGGGAGGGGCTGGCAGAAGGAAGAGAATTTGGAACTCAAAAAAATTTTTTTAAAAAGGTTAAAAATAAATATTAAGGAAAAAAATCAATTTTGCAAATATGGAGCAGGGGAGTTGTGGAGAAAGGGAAAAGGTCAAGAGTGAGAGAAAGAAATAAGAAATGAATATTTCTCTCATAATAATAACCAATTATTAAAACTGGGGAGACTCAAGATTCTTTTCCCATACTATTTCCTTGTGCCAATCTCTCAAGGACTGAGTTGATGGAAGATAGGATTAACATTCTCCTCACTCTGGGTATTGCTACTCCACCCAACTAGTTTAGGCGTGGGTGGGGGATATAGGTTCTTTGTCTAGATTGGCCAGAGAGACTATCCCTGTACTCAGACCATCCCCAGCCAGGAGTGACATATCACCCTCAACCCCTCATTGGAGTGAACTCACTTCTCTCTGGAGAGTGTACTTCTCATTAATTGTTAACCAATCAGCATCGATTGTCATCCTCTGGACTGCTTCTCTTCCAAAAAAGCACATAAGCCATGAGTCTGCTGTCATGATTGTCTTTGGTCTAAGAGAGATGGCCAAACGACCATCCTTTTATCAATAAGTGTGCTGGCAATATTATTAAAATGATTAAATTACCCAGAAATTATGTCTCTTGAACTTTTTTAAATGACACAAGAGAGAGATAAAAACACAGTTGAAGGCAAGAACAGTGACAAAGGGCAGGGACAGATCAATCAACAAGCATTTATTAAGCTTCTACTATGTTCCAGTAACTGTGCTGAACACTGGAGGTGAAAAGACAAAATTGAAAAGTCCTTGCCCTCAGGGGGCTGACATTCTAACAGTGAGACAATGTGCTTCCATATAGGTATATGCAAGATATATATAGAGTACATACAAGATAACCTAAGAAGTTAAGTCAATACACATTTATTAAGAACCTACTATGTGCCAGGTACTGTGCCTAGAGCTGGAGGGGAAGGGACTAGTAGCTGGGGGGAAACAGGGAAAGACTTCTTCAGAACAGAGGTACAGCCTAGCAAAGAAAAAGAGATGGGGAAGGGAGGTAGAGATGGGGACAAGAGCAGAGATAGGGACAGATACAAGAAGAGACCTAAGGACAGAAAAGGAGACAATAGACAAAGGTATGAGGACAGAGATAGAGACAGGGACAGTGACACAGGCAGGGACAGAGAGTAAAAGAAAATCAAGCATCTGTGATCCCATCCTCCAAGGTCTCCTCCAGCAAAGCGCTCCCATTGTCATCCTCAATCCATTGGCCCCTTCACTGCCGTCTACAAACAACGCCATATCCCTCTCATCTTTAAATAACCTTCCTTACATCCTCCTGGCCCCACTAGCCTCCTAGCCCTATCTCTTCTTCTCCCTTTCACTTCAAACTTCTAGAAAAAAAACTGTCTGCCCCCACTTCCTATCCTCTCACTTGCTTCTCAGTCCATTGCAAGCTTCTGACTCCCTCATTCAACTGAAACTGTGCCATCCAACCTTTTAATTGCCAAATCTGATGACCTCTCACCCCTCACCCTTCTTGACCTCTCTGCAGCATTGGATACTGGTCACAGTGAGCACCTCTTCCTGGAAGCCCTCCCCTCTCTATATTTTCATGACATTGCTTTCCCTTGCCTCTCCTTCCTCACCTGCTTTGCTGGATCAGCATTTATGTCAGTTGATAAACATTCATTAAGTGCCTACTATGTGTTAAGTATGATTTTATCTTTGTGACATCTCTCCAACATGCCCCCCTCTCTCCTCTGGCACTGAGTGCCACCCCCTGGTGTGCAGGCCCTTGTCACCTCATGCCTGGACTATTGTAATAGCTGCTGGTGGATCTGCCTGCCTTAGGTCTCTTCCCTTACAATCCATCCTCTATCCAGCCACCAAAAGGATCTTCCTAAAGTATAGGTCTGACTTTGTCACTCCCACCCCTACCCTCACTCAGTAAACTCCTGTGACTCCCTATTGCCTCCAAAATAAATGATAAGATCCTCTGTTTGGCATTCAAAGCTCTTCATAATCTAGCCTCTTCCTACCTTTCCAGTCTTTTTACACCTTACCCCGCCCCACCCCCTTATATTCTTTGATCCAACGATATTGACCTTCTTCCTATTCCTTGAAAAAGACAAAGGCTCCAGCTGTCATTCCATCCCGGTATCTTCTCTGTCTGTCCCCTTTGCCTGGAATGCTCTCTCTCTTCCTCTCCATTTGCTCTTTCCCAAGCTTCCTTCAAGTCTCAGCTAATATCTCAGCTTTTACTGGAAGTCTTTCCCAATCTTTCTTAATTCTAATGCCTTCTCTGTTAATTATTGTCCCATAGCATGTTTGTACATAGTTGCTTGTCTCCTCCCATTAGACAGTATGATGTTTTCAGCAATGTTGCTGGTCACTTCAATGAGGACGAAAACAGCATCAAGGTCGGCTACCTTACTGATGGTAAATTATTGAACTTGAAAAGGCTACAAGCCAAGACTAAAGGGGAGGGAGAGTTGGTGCATGATTTTTTTTGTTCAGAGATGATTGTGCACTCAATGCAGCCTCTGAAGCTGAGATGCAACAAAGTATGGATCTATTCTCTGCTGCTTGTGCTAATTTTGGCCTAGCAATTAATACCAAGAAAACACAGGTGCTCCCCCAACCTGCATCACACCATCCATCCGAGGAACAGTTACAGCAAATGGAGAAGTTTTGAATGCTGTGGATAAGTTCACTTACCTTGGCAGTGTACTTTCCAGGGATGTACACATTGATAATGAGGTTGATGCATGCATTGCCAGAGCTAGCTCAGTGTTTGGGAGGCTCCAAAGGAAAGTGTGGGAGAGAAGAGGTATTAGATTGACTACCAGACTGAAGGTCTACAGAGCCATTGCGCTGACCTCATTGTTGTATATCTGTGAGATCTGGACAGTTTACCAGCGTCATGCCAGGAAATGGAATTGCTTCCATTTGAATTGTCTTAGGAAGATTATGAAAATCACCTGGCAGGATAAGATACCAGACATTCCATCCCTTTCTCCAACTAAATTGCCAAGCATTCAAACTCTACTCCTGAGAGTGCAACTCCCATGGGCTGGCCATGCGAATGTATGCTTGCCAAAATGGCTATTTTATGGAGAACTCACACAGGGCAAGTGCTCACATGGTGGTCAGAAGAAGCTATACAAGGACACTCTCAAGGTCTCTCTTAAGAACTTTGGAATCTACTACATGACATGGGAGACACTGGCACATGACCGTCCAGCGTGGGCTGTCTATATCAGAGAAAATGCTGTGCTCTATGAGCAATGCATAATTGAAGTAGCTCAAAAGAAACTGGAGATGCGCAAAATTTAGAGAATCCACCCCAAATGTTCACATGGACTGTTCGTGTCTGACCTGTGGTAGAGCCTTCCAAACTCATACTGGTCTTATCAGCCACGGTCGGACGCACTGTACCTTGACCCCAGCACAGTGACGTCACTTTGGTTTTCTTCCAGCATGAAGGTCTATAACCACCAACATGCGCATTTATTTGTGGCGTGCGTGTGTGCACGTGCGTGCGTGCGTGCGTGTGTGTGTGTGTGTGTGCGCCCCCTCCCTCCCTCCCCACGTAAGCTCCTCCTGGGCAGTGCTGTTGGTCGTGCCTCAGTATCCCCAGCGGGGCTCGCAGTGCCTGGAACACAGCAAACACTTAAATGCCCGAGATGGCTTGGCTGAACAGACATAGAGTCAAGGCAAAGGCCGAGCCCAGGGACCGTGCCGGACACCGCGGCCGGGGAATTTGGGGGACACACACGGATTCCCTACGGGCAGGGCCCGTAACTTAGCCAAGCTCCGCGCCTGCGCCGCAGCCATCCTTTGCCCCGCCCCCTTCCCCGTTCCGCCCCCCTCCCAAGGAGCAGCGAGACGCCTGTGTCCTTGGCGCCCGCGCAGCCTAGAGCGTCGAGGGAGGCCGGGAGGGAGGGGATGAGGGAGGGAGGTGCCCGCCTTGTTCCCGGAAGCGGAAGTAGCTCCCGGCTCGGCCGGGAGGGCGGCCATCTTGGAAGCCGGAGCGGCGGCGGCGGCGGCGGCGGCGGCGACTGAGGGTGTGACGGGCCCGCTCCCGGACGGCGGCGGCGGCGGTGGCTCCCCGGCCCGGCCCGGCCTCGGCTCCGCCTCAGCTCGGCTCCACCGCCCGCCCGCCCTCCTTCCCTCGTCCTCCCGGCGGGCGGAGCGAGCCCGGGCCCGGG